GGGGGGTCTAACCACCTTCTGAGGCTATGGTTGAGTTGAGCCCTAGGGAAATTGCAAATCCTTGCGATAAGGACATCTGCGGGGGACCCTGAGAAGTGTGGCCGAGGTTGCGACCAAGCGCTGCAAAGGCAGGGAGGACTGAAGGAGCCTGCTAAGCTGAGGCTTCCGACCAGAAGCTGCTGGACGTCAATTGCTTCCAATATAGATGTCGGATTCAGGTCCTACTTGGTCCTATTATTTTGGATACCAACCGCAGTCTGACCAGCATGTGCTGCTAAAAGAATAATAGCAAAACAGGTGATTCAATCCAGAGCCACAAATTCACGAATACAACCGCACTTTCCCCGCATAGACTTGCCAAACACCCTGGTCACCCTCGTTGCGCTGGCGACAAGCAAGTGGTTTCCAGAAAGTCGCTGCATCCAGGCCTCTTAGGGGCCTCAAGTCGCACTCCACGCCCTGCCTGCACAAGAAGCTGGCGGAAGGACCTGCCTCGCCCCAAGGACAAAGCGCGGCACGAAGGCGCTCACGCCTCAGGGCTTGGATGCTGCAGCCCAGGTGTCACATGAAGTGGGGTGGGGCAGAAGGCTTGCTGTGGCAGCCCTGCGCAGGCTGCCAAGAAGTCCGGTCGACCGGACCCCCCGAACCCCGGCGCATCGACGTCTGCTCCAAAGGCTCATCTCATGGATCCCGTGGCGCGCCAAGCTTGGTTGGTTGGATGCGCCACCTTTCCATCGCAGCTGTTCCGATCTTGAACATGGATGGAGCAAGGGCGGGAATTCAGAAACACTTACCGTGGGAAGCAACGACGAAGCGTCAGATATGGCCTGCCCCGCAGGAAGAAGAGTGACCTGGTTTTAGCGGCCGGTCTTCCCGAAGTCCTGCGAAATGATCCTCCCTTGCCTTGTCTTCGCACATCTCTTACCTTTTCCCAGCTCCAAAAAGGCCCCACTCCGCGTCGCTGAAACCGCACTTTCTCCGGCGTTCCCCCTATAGGATCTATAGGGCTCCGGCGCCGCGCGCGCGGCAGGGCCAGACGGGGCTAGGAGCAGCTGACTGTGATGACCTCATGATGAGGCGGGCCAGGCCTCTGGCTAAACGAGGAAGCAAAAGGAACATGAAAATGAGTAGTGATCAGTCTGTCCAAAAGAAAATGGACTCAGTAGACCCCAAACACTCCATGGGACTTGCATAATTTCTTACTTACCTTGGGGTGGTTGACCCGTAGGCATGTCTTCCATACATGGAGTGGAAGTGCACGAAGAAACACAATGACGACGACGAAAACGATGGTGACTGCTACCACCTCGACCCCCCACAACTTTTGCCAAGGTGCGGATTACATAGGGATGGACATATTGAACAAATTGGATTCCAGATTGCCATTGTTTTAATTGTTTTTACCGAATAACCATTGTTTTACTAGTGATTTTGGGCTACAAACTCAGGCCTGCCCCATTCTTTTCATAGTGTTTGAGGGCTCGGGAAACCATTTGAAGGCTCGCTTCATTGAAAACAAAGCAGCAGCCATGCATCCCTATGCTACTGAACTAATTATAAAATGGCCCCTTGGCTCTACCACAAAGTCCTCACCAGTTCCACCATCTTCCACCACTCAGTCATCAGTTCCATGGGCCACCGACTTGGAGGTACATATTATGCTGCCTGCTGACTTCACCCATACCTCACCTATACATGTAGACTCTTGATTAAGAGCTTCCCTAGATTCCTAGATATGAAAACCAGCAGTCACAAAGGGGTGGTGTTTAGTCCCATCCAGTGAGTGGATGTTCTGGGCACCCCTAACCTCCATTCAGCACCCCTTTGTGACTGCTGGAAGGTTCTTCGATCCGGCGTTTGTTCTCAATGGCCATAGGCGACCCCATCACGACGGGTTCAATCCAAGAGTCCTATATGACCCAGACCCACCACTAACCCAACCACAATCACTAACAACATCCACGCACCGGAGATGCACACCCAAATCACCCGCTGAGATCCTGTGCGTAGCACCAAGGTCGCCCCCAGCACCTTCTCCTGTCCAAGCACCACCGGCCGCAGCAAGAAGACGACTCGGTTTCTCTGGTCCATGCAGACTCTCCGTCCCCGGTTCCGTTGCTGGCACTCCTCTGAAAAGACTGCAAGCCAGCACCACAGAGGACCCGGGTGCATGAACATCGCCCCCCGAAGGCCCCGAAGGCCGGGTTCCCAGGGGTGAGGGGGTGACTCCGACGTGTCCACGAACCACTCCGAGCGGGGTCTGGTGTCGCACATTCGTCTCAATGATGTGTCTGCAGCTCGCTCCTTCGTGTCTTTGGTGCCTTCGCCTTTTGTACATGATTTTGGGGTGCGAAGGCCTTTAGTACTGCAAGTCAGTTTGACCTCATTTGAGGAGATGGCCATAGAAAACCAATACTTAGGGAGGTAAATGGTTTTACTGGGTCTTTGGACTAGTAGTTTTAAACTTTAAACCATGCTTAAGCCCGCGTGACATACCTGCTCAATCCCACACACACCGTTTTCAATCAACCCTACGTGTGCACAGCGGCAGGTTGACGTGTCGCGCCTCGTTCCCTGCTCCTTCTGCCAGCTTCAAGGCCGCTTCAACCGACACGGTCTGCTCAGCCTCGGTGATCATATCTACTTGGAGGTACGTATACCTTGCCTACAAACACTGGCATTCACACGGTGGTCAATGTATGGAGAATGATTCTCCATTAATTACCCGGAATGGTCTTCACTAATTAAGCTTTTGTGAACGTTTGATATTTCTTTTATGTTGGTTCTCCAGATGTCACCCCTGGAAGTGGGACTGGGATGCCCAAAGGTCGTAGGTCACAGCGCCAACCCCCCAAAAAATGCAAAACAACTCTCTTTGACTCACCTTCTGAGGTGTGTCCAACCATGAAAGGACTTACAGTAAATCCATTGAGACACTGGGTCACTGGGCATTCATGTATAGCCTGATGTGTCTGATGCCTGCTTCTTGTTGGTGTGGCTATTGTGACGATCTTAGCTCGAACCACGTTTTTGATGCTTTGCGCCTCATGATTCATCGGCATGCACCAAGGTCCTACTAGTATGAGCACCTTCCAGGTCCCTTTCCACCAAAGGGAGAGGGTTCCTTCCTCAAAGAAGATGACATTCACAAAAATGGAATGGAGGGAACATGTTGCTGGGATCAACTGCGTTTGCCTTTCTGCCCAGTTATATGTACAATATGCGTATGCCGATTGGCCCATGACAATGGCAGCTTGCTGCGCTTCTGTCAACCTTTTGCCACCACTGCTACGACACGACTGCACGGGTGCTGCGAAGATCATCAAACGCAAGGGCGGATTTGGACCAGTCGAAATACAATTCTTTAGGGGGGCTGGTGAGTTCCAATTTGACCCTGGGTGTGCCACCACTTCAGTTGCAATACTTAGATTGCATTGGACATCAGGCCGGCCCCACGTTTGATCCATCTTCGGTCTTCAAACTTCGCACCCAACGAGGTGAAACAGCACTTAAAAGCCAAAGACATGGCTGTGGTGAGGCTTCTTTTTGCAAGACGAGCGACATGAGGAAAAACACGAAACAAACCATAAATTTGTGGAGGAAAGGGGTCTTTCGTGTCTACTACACAAATCAATTTACGAACGTTTAATATGCAGTAATTATGCTATGATATGCTATGTGTTGGGTGTACCCCATTCCGGTTGCATGCCTTTGTCTTAAATAGTTATGTTCTTGTTTACCGACTCCTACCGGTTTACTGGGACAAACCAAAGAGATATGATATGTGTGCATATAACTGCATATATACGACGACTGGTCTCCAAACAGGACACCTATTGGAAGCGCTAGGTGTATCTCCAATCAGGACACCCATTGAAAGCTCTAGGGGTAATAAACAGATTCAATATTGCTCAATCAATTATGTTCAGTTACCCAGTAACAGTTGCCCCTTTTCTTGCGGATCATTAACACACACAACATATCCGAGATGCAGTTGAACTGTTGAACTAAGGTGAATCTTTGTGACTGTGTGCTCATCTCCAAAAGGGGCCGAGCCACAACGGATGCTATCGTTGTGTCTAAAACGGATACAAGCACACCTGGAGTTCATAGGTTTCTTTTGGTTTAAGGCTTCTTAAGGTGCTGTTCAAAGCCGAGGTGAGTGGATACTGGGCTGAGGCACCCAGTAATCATTGGAACTCTTGTAGTGCTTGGATGCGTAAAAAGCTTCAGGTCTATTTTGAAGACTCCAGGTAGGCTCATAGCAAGTGATAGCGGGTGGTTCCAAAAGTCACAGCTTCAACATGTGATTAAACCTATATATTAAACCTAGGACCTAGAACTAAACCTGAATATAAACCTAGGAAGAGTTGGGTCGATTCATAATTTGGTCTCATTTCACTTCGGTCGTGAGTGAGTGCCACTCAAACGGTTCTCACCTGGATGACCCTGACGGTCTGACGATCGACGGACGCTGACGCTCGATCATCCACAAGCTCAAGTCGTCGGCGTTCAATTTGGGGAGTCGTGACTGCGGAAGTAGGTCGTGCCTGGTACACATGTCCTCTCTAAATCCTAAACGAATTCACATGCAGCGCCAAAAGCTCGTACAAAGCAAAGCCGAACGCCAGGTTCCCCAGGTGCCATCCTGCAACGAGATGTGGAGAAAAGAGTTTGGAGACTTCAAACGTGTTCCCCCTGGAAACGTTGAAAAGGTGCTTTTTGGACAAACATCTTCTGGAAGGTGTTGCTTTCCCAAATAGGAATCCACATGCCCGGAGAAAGTAACGCTGGAGACTTACAAATTCTTAT